TTTTTTTTTTTTTTTAAACTGTGCTATATAATAACAAATTCAACATGTGGTAAGTCACAACACAATCATAGCACAACAACAGAAAATTTTGAAAGCTTACCAAAAACCATCAATTTATGTGAAAGATAGACTCCTACGGTTTGTGTAGTTCGAATTTTTTTAAAACTCACCTAAGACAGACTATAGAGCTGTAGTCATCAATTCCAACAACTCTAAACCTGAACTAAACCAAATATGAAGTTTTCTGATTTTTCTAAAAAAAATTGACATAACTAAAAAAAACAGAGAAGGAAAGATATTTAAACCCCTAAGAATGTAGAGTTAAAAAAAAAACTTTACTAACTCAGACCATAAAGATAGAGGCATCAATTCAACTGACTATAACCATCAACTAAACCAAACATGAATGAAGACCAAAAAGGAAAAGCGGAAAAAATGTTGTCAAGTCTTGGGAGTTAGGCCTCTCAAAATCTTTCTAAAAATTTGCAAATTCCAAGAAATAGGGTATCCTTCATCCTTTAAAATTGAGTTATGCAGAATGAAAGGTGAGATAATTAGGAATAAACTATTCAACAGGGAAAGTCCCCCAGTATAATAGACCTATATATAATTGCAGGAAAAGTACAACCAAGGTCCCGAAGTGCTACAATGAAAGGACAGAGACTCAAATGCGACCAAAAAACAATAAAGATGGGGACCTAAGTGCTGCAGCAAGCTAAGGTGAGGAATCAAGTATTACTTTCCCTAAATTTGCTTTAGATCAATTTTATGTCAGGTCTAGCAGAAAATTGAATATCAAGTTTACTTCATTTTGCAAATGGGATTGACAGTTTAAGTGTCGGGATGTTGTGTAGTTTTGCTCCACATGAGGGTCCGTAATTTTTATACAAAAAACGACCAATAACATATGCAAACGATAATGAAAAGAAAATGATAATATAAGATCAACATGTACAACGCAAGGGGTAACCTTTCGTATTACAACTTCAACCTCATCCGAAAATGAAGTCGGTATACGAGAGTTGTGTTACAATGGGGTACGNATGAAAAGAAAATGATAATATAACTTCAGATTGTACAACGACATGGTGGGAACATTTAACATACTACTTTGACCACTTCCGGAGATAAGTCTGTTTACGTCAGTTGTGTTACAGTGGGGTTTGAACATGTGGTCCAATTATGACCAACTTTATCACAGCGAGTGCATTTCCTGAGTCATGTGGTATACTCGTATCTAGATCGACACTAAAATGGAAGTGGGTTTGTCCCCTCTCCACTTCCATTCGTCATCCACGTGAACAAATTTTTCCCCATGTGACACGATGAATCTCAAATGATTATTCGTACCTGAAATGTTGAGATTGTAACGGTAAGAATTCCACACAATAAATATGTCAACATTTAATAATATGAAAATGAAACTTTCGAATATTTAAATCCATGTAGTAGCAAAATGTGAAATCAAGGGTTTCAACAGTTTTCAAGTGTCAAATTCGACAGTTAAATTGTCTATCCCGATAGTTTCTAAATGTCGAGTTCGACCATTCACGTGTCTAACCGACGGTTTCAAATGAACTATTTGACATGTATTTGGTACCTTGGAAGAAATTATTCAAATATTAATGGTGATAATCAATTCTCAACTACAACATGACAACATTTTTCCAAAAATAAATAACTCAATACTTCATTAAATATGAAAGCTTTCACATATTGTAAAGGATATTGGTATCTTTATCTTTCAAAAATAGTAAGTTATAAGATAAAAATATAAAAAATTCATAATGGCTAACTTCCCAAAATAGATGATGAATTCAATAGTAACGTATTCTTGATCAATGAATGAAGAAGA